GTGCTTATTGTACCTGTCGTTCTCTCCTGTACAGGTGTGATACCACACACACTACACAAAAGCCTGGGAACATTACAATTGAGTAGAAATACATACATCACACTACAGAAGGCCACTATATTGAATACATGCCATATTGTTAGGAAATTCCTGAATACAGACACTGACATACACATTTAATTTTAGTTTTGTTTTGGTTGCTATGCCTTGACTCTGGTCTGGCATAGTACACAGCCACCGGTTTAAACAGAGTATTACCCACTAAACCCAACACAAGAATAATAATAATGTTGAATTTTATTTTCAGCATTTAGAAACACTGTTAATTTTATAATTATCAATTTTATAAACATACATTTCAAGAAATCAAAATGAAGTTGTCTTGTAGTGCTGAAACAAAAATACAGATCAAATACTTTCCAAGCAGAATTTTTCACAAAGTGTCATAAAAAAAAAATTAGAAAAACAAAATATTTGTATAAGTATGAACAAAATTTGTAGAATTATCAAAACTAGTTGCAAAAAGTGGTATGGCATGTTAGCAGGCAAGAAACCTATCTGTTTGGAGAGATGGACAAGATGGGTGGATGGAGTGAACAAAGAAAAAAATCCACTTTTGTTAAAAGTTGTGGATGTATGCACATTAAGCAGTTGAGCAGACAGAGGACAACTTACTTTGGAGGAAATCAGTCTCACATTATTGAGACAGAGACATTTCTACCCATCCACCTCAAATCAACGGGATCCCTAAACACAGATGGCCCAGCAGTCAAAACCTCCTGGCACTCTTCTCTAACAGAAATTGCCTTTTTCATTTTTTTTGAAACATGCATTACTTAATTCTTTATGAACATTACTTATACAAAAAAAAAAAAACACCTTGTCTGAATACACTTATACTTTTTTGCTCTAAACTGGCATCAACTACATAATGAAAAGGGACATACTTGTCAAGTTTCTTAATATATCACTGATGGATTTCTATGGCTTTTTTAAACATCTTTTTCTCAGAATAGACAATACAGTATTTCTGAAAAGTTTGCAAAGACTTATGGTCAAAAATCACACAAGAGTGCACAAAAGTTTTCAATGCTTGGTAAAGAAGGTACAGGACTGTTAATAGACTTTACAAGCAACACAAAGCAGACCAAGGCTATTCATCATAGAGTTTTGAGGGACAAAAATTAAAAAGCAAACCAAAGTGTCTCAAATTGCATGTACATCCTCCATACTACTAGAAGTTTTTCCACTGTTAATTATTAAAACATATAATTCTCCAGAATTTATTAATTACATAGATGTTTTATTAATTAATTACATAGATTGTTAACTCAGTGCATATCTTATGACCTGAGTTAACAATAATATGATTTACAATATTCACCAGCTTGCTGACATTCAACCACTGGTTCCATAACTGCTGATCAACTGTGTCTTTGATCTCTAAAGCAGTTGGTATTCACTACCTCTATACAACTGTTAATCCATTGACCAACAGCTAATGATCCATTTTGTAAAATATATTGTTAGCTGTAGCAGTCAATCATCATTTTGTTTCTGTAGTTGAAGTAGAATTTGTTATCAAGAACATGTTGATATTTTTAATATCAATATTATATGGAGATGAAATAAAATGATTGAACAACATTTTATAGATTTTTATTTCTTTGACTGTACCATTCTAAGCTTTATACTGCAATATATATATATATATATAAATTAATGGTAAATGAATTCTACCCTATTTGATCTCTTACTTAATTATTGTTTGGTAAATTTCATTATAATATTGTCAACATCAAATATTAACCATATACTACAAATATTGAAATAACAGGATCAAGGAGTGTATATCAGTAGAATGTAAATATTCTGCAGATAACCCATTATTTAATATGATGGCTCTTACAAGGAAAATAAAATATATTCTCCAATAACTTTCTTGAATTTAAAAAGAAATTGTTATCAGAATTAGTGAAATCAAAAATTTCTATAATTGAAAAAAACAAAAACATGTATGCTCTGACTATACTTAACAAACTGCGCAAGATCAAAGTAATGACTGATTTTAAATCACCAACTAAAATGGGTGAAGTCTGGTCAAAAAGTTGGAGAACACAGATTGGAGATTTGATCTGCATTCAAGCAGGGTTTGATCTTCAATTATGGCTAGTGAATATGACAATTGAAGAAATTCTTTTATGATCTAGAGATGACTGATTAATTAAAAAAAATTAATCTTTTAAATCAATAAAAAAGTATACATCTAATATTTTAGAATCAATGCTGAATAGGAAAAAATATATACAGTAATACCTCGACTTACACAAACCCGGAGTTACGCGATTTTCAAATCTCGTCAATTCGTCTTTTGTTTGAGCGCCAAGCAACTCTCGATTACTCAATCCCCCCACACTATTGTGGGGGGATTGAGTAATCTTACATGTTCAGACGTGTCGCGCGGAATCGACACATAGCTACAATTTATTTTGTGTTATTTATTTCTGTGTTTGTTATATCTACAGAGACTTAAGAGACTATGTGGTGATTCCTTGTAACCATGAACAAATCAAAAGACGAGATAAGATTAACGAGAACATTTATTAGCTTACATACATACGACTTCGGTTTTACACAAATTGCGAAATTATACCCAGACTTACGCCGTTATCGCTCAGTCCCACCTATCGTGTAAGTTCGGGGTATCACTGTATATTAAAAATATTCTGTAACTTACAATAAATTCTTTATATAATTCTATGTTTACCACCTGTGAAAAATAAATTTATGAAATTCATATAGAATATAAGTCAATATACTAAAACTTTTAAGTCTGAAATCTTGACTACTTTAGGGGAAAAATATAATTACTAAAAAAGGAGGTTTTATGTAAAATAAGTTTTAAACTAAGAAACTTTTACATTAGAAAGAAGTTAATTTATAATTTGATAAAATTAAAATCAATTCTAGACATACTATATACTTAGATAAGATGTTCAATTATCTTCAAGATGTATAAAACAACAAATATAAAATTTGAAAACAATCTTTTATGATGCTAATCTGCTTTATTATTTTTATATTTTAAATAAAATTAAAACAATGAATAAAAATTACCTCTTCTTTTGTAGCTTCATAATTTTCATATTCTAAAATGTATTTGCAAAATGTAAAAAAATCTTCAGCAGTTCGTCTTCTTTTCCTAGGTGATCCTTCCTATAAAGAATTGTTTTTATAAATACATATATTGAAGTAGTATTGCAACATAATTATATTACCAATCAAACAAACAGTCTGATTCTTATAGAATATTTTAAATTTTAATTTATTTCTAGTTATTAATTATAACACAAGATGGCAGCTTAACTTCATACCTCTAGCCAAATTGTTTAATATCTTATTACTTAATTAGCCTTAATGCAGGCAATAAGAATCAGGCAGTTCATTTGATTAGTAAAACTATCATGCTATTAGAATATATTGTGATTTATAATAATTACAACTGATTGTTAGATTTTTAATAAACAATGCTAGATATATACTGAAATTTTTCAGTGTATTTACTATTTTTTGTTTACTTTTAGATGTATAAAATTTTTTGAACCATACAAAACATGACAAAAATAAACAAAACAAGTTACATGCAGTGTGTAGCGTCTGTGTAATCCAAAACGAGTTGGTAGACGAACGGACAGCAATTGGTTAGAAAACGTACGTTTTATTTAAAAAATTCCTAATTCATATGCATTTCGAGTTGGCTTAAATTCCCAACCCCTCTTCAGTGCTGTTAAGATTACACAAAAAAATATAATTTAAGGTTAGTTTTACGGTATTGGTTAGTAGGAACATAACTAAAAACGCGAGGTGATGATAACATAAAATTGCTTACTTGACATATAATGGTACAGCATAGATGTATTTTACAAAATTTTTTGATTACATAGTAGTATGGCATAGCCTATGNATGTGGGTAACTGTTTATATAACATTACTTGTCGGTATTCTGTTACTAAGCGAACAACGGATAAGACCAGTTGTTAAAAATGTTTTGTACTATGTTCCTTTTTGTATTCGGAAATAATACATTCTAACTAAAATGTAAGTGTGCATTGATATTTTTTAAATTAATATTCTATGTTATACAGTTCGTCATAAAAATGATATGTTAAACAGCCTCCCCCTTATACCACTTTTTTCATATCATAGGCTATGCCATACTACTATGTAATCAAAAAATTTTGTAAAATACATCTATGCTGTACCATTATATGTCAAGTAAGCAATTTTATGTTATCATCACCTTGCGTTTTTAGTTATGTTCCTACTAACCAATACTGTAAAACTAACCTTAAATTATATTTTTTTGTGTAATCTTAACAACACTGAAGAGGGGTTGGGAATTTAAGCCAACCCGAAATGCATATGAATTAGGAATTTTTTAAATAAAACGTACGTTTTCTAACCAATTGCTGTCCGTTCGTCTACCAACTCATTTTGGATTACACAGATGCTACACACTGCATTTGATGATACAGCAACCACGTCCTCTACATTAAGAAAACAAGTTACATTTCAACTTTACACATACATAGTCAAGTAGCTTTTCCTCTTGTCAATGAAAAAGTAAATACTTATAAATGCTGCTTTTTAGGTTTAATACATAAGAATCATACTGTAAGAAGAAAACAAACCTAAAAAAAAATCTGTTTCATACCATGTAGATCTGCATGAAAATTTTGACTAATTAGCACTATCTCTATCAGTAAATTCATAGAAAGAGTAACAGCAAATTAAACATATTGTAATATCAATAAAATATACTACTGTGTTTTCATCACAAGTTTTTAAGATTACTATGGGAACAGTAACCAACAGCAAAATTAAAGCATTTCTTAATCTATAATGCATCTCAAGCAAATATGCCATGGTTGCATAGTAAGTATTAAGAAACGATAATGTACTTTTTAAAATTCCATTACCTTGTAATCATCAATGAAAATATCTTTTGTATCAACAGACAATGAGGTATAAAATTTTAGCTTTTTAAGCTAAATGAGTAAACTGATAACATTAACCTTGATGCTATTTCAATTTAGCTATTTCAATATTTATTTGAATCAATTTGAATTGTTTTTTTTTTGTTTTTAGTTTTGTTCTATAATTGTGACTTTAAAACCTTTGTAATGTTGTGTTTAATGTTTGAACTTTGGAATCTTCTGTAATTCAAGTTTGTTGACCATTTGAACCCTTCTATCTAATTTTTTTGTTGTAAATATGATGTCCTATTTGGAGGTCATCTATAAATGGACATTAGAAATGCCTCCAAACATCAATTTTTGATATTTTATGATAAAAAAATATTGTTTCTGGAAAGTTCAGTTATTAATATATTTTAAAACTTCTAAATAAAAAGAATTTATTATTATAATTTAATTTTGTATTTTGAAATTAAAATAATTTTAGATCTTATTAACTTATCTATACAATAATTGCCGTCTGAGCAGATTTTCTAAAAATGAATATTTGCTTTTAGGTATGTTATTAGATGAATTCTAATAAAAGCTTTTCTCAGAACATATAAAATTCAAAAATTTTCAGGGTATAAATTCTGAAACATTCTTATATTTCTCACAATATTCTTAAATTCTGTAATTGAACTTTTTATATATCTTTATTGAAAACTGACTCTTAAAAATTATCTAACTTTTTATGTTTTCATAAATGTATTAAATTTGAATTTTTAAACAGTGGACTTAATAATAATAATAGTGTTTCAAATATTATGATTATTTACTTTTTCAAACCGAATAATTAAAAATGAAAATGGTCAAATAATAGCTCAAACCACTAATGTTTGAGGAATAAACTCAATAACACTCTAGCAACTGAGCTAATTTGGCTTAACCAGTTAGAATATATTTCTAAAAATTAAAATTTTTCGGTTTAAAATTTCAAATTCAATTTCATATTAAATATTATTAGCTGTTATCAATAGATGAAATGACTGTAATTCTTTTATTCCCATTATTTAAAATTCAAATTCAATTATTGAACAGGAATGATGGAACATTTTGATAATAATTGAAGATTTTAAAACATAGTTTTGCATAAGCTATTTTACAAATGTTATATATAAATTAAAATATATAAAAATTTTCATACAGGTTCTTTTATGTTTATTGACTTATTTTTCAGAAATAAGGTATTAATCTTTAATAAATTGCCATTTTATAATAAAAATATCATAATGCTTCTGTATGTAAATATGAATAAATTTGTATTGCAATAAATGCAAGTTATTCATTGCCATAATTGTTTTTATCAATATCCATTTACTTAAGCTTTTAAAGTAATCAGATTAAAAGAATCATCATTTAAACAATCTTTCCTCAATGAAATTTATCAAATTTTATATACATTAACTTTGCTGTATTACTTTAATTATAGAAATAACATGTTCTATCATTCAAAGAAGTAAACAAACTTGTTTTGCAACTGAACTGCAATTCCAGACAATAACCAAAAAAGCAAATACAGTAGAACCTCGATTATCCGGACTAATTGGGGATGAAGGTAGTCCGGATAAGAAAAAATCCGGATAATCGAAACAAACACTTTAATTTGTCTTTTAATGATAATACAACACGTTTTCTTTTCGATGACATATCGGCAATATTAAAAGTAAATACTGTATTTAAATCGTGATCAAATTTTCAAGAAACAAACATTCATATTGAATTTGGACTACTACTGACCAACGCTAACAGACTACCTACTGTTTAAAAGGCCCTCTAGTGGCGCAAGAAGACGGATTTTATAAAATAAAAAGCAGTTGAAACTGCA